GTGTACTATCTACAAGATGCACTACAGAAATTCATCAAAGATCCTCAGACAGCACCTTCTAAACCCACACCCGCTTCCAACTAGAAAGACAAAGGCATCAGATAAATGGGAACACCACCACCTCCAAATTCCCCTCCAAGCCACCATCCTGACTTGCAAAAATATCACCGTTCCTTCACTGTCGCTGGGTCAAAATCCTGGAATTCCCTCCCTAAGAGCATTTTGGGTCAATCCACAGCAAGAGGACTGCAACGGTTCAAGAAGGCAGCTCACCACCACCTTCTCAAGGGCAACTAGGGATGGGCAAGAAATACTGGCTAGCCAGCGATGCCCACATCCCACAAGTGAATAGAAAAAATAATTTCTGCTCCAACCAACAAAGAAAAACTAGCAACCTGTTCTCACACCAACTTCCAGCACCTAGTCCATACTTTAGCTGCAAATCCAGGTACTTTTTAAACAGGTTGAGGGCTTTTGCATCCACCAACAAACTGGGCAGCTAACTCCAGACATCTGCTACCCTTTGGGTGAAAATATTTTCCTTCACACCTCTCTAATGCTTCCACCAATCAGTTTAAATCTGTGCCCCCTCCTGATTGACCTCTCTGCTCGGAGAAACATGTCTTTACTGTCTACTCTGTCTAGGCCCCTCATAGTTTTATAAACCTCTATCAATTCAGTCTTCAGCTTCAGACAAACACAGCAAAAGTTGCAGAAACTCGACAGATCTGGCAGCATCTGCAGAGAGAGAAACAGAGTTAAGGTTTTGAATCTGGGAATGACTCTTTTGAGAACAGTTCTGTTTCTCTCTCCACAGATGCTGCCAGACCTGCTGAGTTATTCCAGTATTCTCTGTGTTTGTTTCAGGTTTACAGCATCTGCAGTATTTTGCTTTAACTCTAGCCTACTGAATCTTTTCCCATTCCTGCAATTTCTAAGCCCCAACAACATTCCTGCAAATCTGATCTGTACTCTTTCAGAGCAATTATGTCTTTCCTGCAATACAGTGGCCTGAACCATACACAACATTCCAGCTGCGACTTAATCAATGTCTTATACAGCTCTGGCACTAAATCCCTGTTTTTTTTTTATTATATTCTTCATCCAATAAATGAAAGTTTTCTGTTTGCTTTCTTTACCACCTTAACCATCGGTCTTTCCACTTTCAAGGGCCTGCACACAGGGTCACTGAAAGTCAGTTACTCCCCCTTAATACCCTTCCATCTATTGTGTATTCCCTTGCTTTGTTTGCCCTTTCCATATGCATTACCTTGATCTTCTACGAACAGAATTCCGTTCATCATTTTTCTGATTATTGATGTCATTCTGGAGTCATCGCTATCTTCCTCGATATCAACTACATGACACAATTTGTGTTATCTGCAAATTTCCCAAATATGCCTAACATGTTTAAGTCTAAATCATGAATATATACAACAAACATAAGGGACCTAATATTTAGCACCATGGGATGCCCCGGTAACTGCTTTCCATTTGAAAAAAAAAGTATCGACCATTATGCTTTGTTTTCTGTTCCACATTCACCGTTGTTCCAATCAAAAATCAAATCAATCATAAGAGTATACAATCACCCTCTGGTGTGCTGTTGTACTGGTGCACCAGATAGTTTCTCATCCTCAATCACAGTACTGGAGAACTGCTGCTTTCTTAGCATTATCTCTGCCACTGGTGCTGATAAATTCTGCTTTCAAGATGAAGAATTGAAATGTTCCTCCTAAACTTGTTCATCTCATCCTCTGACATCAAACTCAAATCAGCAATGATAATTTGTTTTACAGGTAGTTTTGCTGCCTGAACAGTTAACGATTCTTCAATGAGTTGCATTGCTCATTCTTGTTGCCAGTCTTTGCTTCTACATGCAAATTCCACTGATTTCTGTCATCTGAAAGTGCTTCAGTGACGACAGGAATGGAAAGAAGATTTCCTTCCCACAAAGGGCCTATTCGATTTCCAATGATAGGGCATCAACCACAGCTGAGTCTTAGTTACTTGAGGAGAATTTCTTCAGCCAGATGGTGGTGAATCTGTGGAACTCATTGCTGCAGAAGGCTGTGGAGGCCAAGTCTTTGTGTGTCTTTAAGGCAGAGATAAATAGGTTCTTTATCAGCAAGGGAGTCAAGGGTTATGGGGGGAAGGCAGGAGAATGGGGTTGATAAACATCAGCCATGTTTGAGTGGCACAGCAAATTCAATGGGACAAATGGCCGAATTCTGCTTTTATATCTTACAGTCTTATGGTCTTAAGATCTAGGTTATTACATGATAGCAATCTGGTACAAATGACATTAGCTAGTCATTTACTGAGAAGTTGACAATTGTTATTGAGAAGAGATAACTGATACATCTGCCCCTTTCCAGATCCAGAACTACTCTCATAAAGTTGCTACTCAAGATTGTATAACACTGTTAAATTTGGTGGAGTTTAATTCAATATCTAACAGTAATCCCTTCAAGAATCATTATCCTATATAACAATTACAGGATACACAGTAAACTACATATTCAACAGGTGTGTTACAACATTACGACTGCAAAATAGCAGCACATCATTTGTAATAATTAATAATAGCAACATTTGGAACAATAAAAATCATGCTGTAAACTGATGGAAGCACCTAGACACTCATTCTTTACTGAAGAGTTAGAGTCCAATAGGTTTCTGAGATTTATTAGCATAAAAAACAATATTTTTGTCAGGGAAACAGGAAATGCTATTATGCCCTGACCCATTGTCAGAATTCAACCCATCAATTTATACTTATCTCTCAGCTTATCTCTCAATCCCTACTTGGCAAGAATAAATCACATTTAACATCAGTGATTGAGAACTTCCCAGAAAAATAGTAATTCCTAGAAATAATTTGATAATTCAGCACAAGATTAATAATCTTTCCAGCAAATGGGATTACATAAGAAAGGCAGCACAGATTTGTTAGTGGCAATCTCCAATAAGAGATAATCTAACCATATTCCCTCGACGTTCAATGGTATTACTGTTGCTGATTCTCCCGCTATCAACATCCTGGGGATTGTCATTGACCAGATATACATATATACACTGTGGCTACAAGAGCAGAGTAGAGGCCAGCAAATAACTCACCTCCTGACTCTCTAAAACCTGTCCAGCACCTACAAGGTAAACATCAGGAGTGTGATGGAATACTCCCACTTGCCTGAACAAGGGCAATTCCAATAACACTCAAGAAGCTCAATATTAATGAGGACTGAACAGTCCACTTAATTAGCACCCTGTCCACCAATTTAAATATTCACTTCCTTGACCATTGTCTCACAAGTGGCAACAATGTGTAACATCTACAGCCATTTATATTCTTTAGATTAATTCAAGCAAACAGGAAATGTACAAGGGAATTAGTGCAGTAAACAGCTGCAGGAACAACATGTATCTATGACTACAAGATGTCAATTGAAATAACAAATCTGGTTTTAAAATGTTCAAATGCCACAGTAAACTGGTGAAAACCTTATTCAAAATCCCTAAAAAAAACATGCTGAAAGCCAATTTGAAGGTTGAGTTCACGGTTGAGCATGGATGGAGTCTTGATCAAGAAAATCATTTCATATAAGACATTTGTTTTATAGGACACATTACTTTAGAGGGACACCACCAGTAACAAATGGCAAAGAATTATAATAAGAAAACACCTCCTAATACTGGCTAA